TCATATTTTGGCTCCTGTGGATTTGGTTTAATTTTCCTCAGCTTCAGCTTGAACTTGCATATGAGTAATTGGTGGTCTGTTCCACAATCAGCCACACAAATAAGACTGTTAAACCAGCTATATTTTTAGTGATTCAAAGATATTTAATTGGATATTTTATGCATATTATCTGTAAAGGTCCAGTATACAAAAACCTATTTGCATGTTAACTTACTCATATTCAAGTTACAGTAAAAAGCTTTTGACATGCAAAACCTTACTGTAGGTGCTTCAGGATATTAAAAGTTGTATTTTCTATCCTCCTATACCTTATAGAAATACAGGGGTTTAAAATGAACACTCAAGTTCACTCTGTACTATAAAATACATAAATTAAAGTGGAATACTAATATAATTATACTAATATTTTGAAAGAATATAAACAATTTCTGATATTGCAAGTTCTAGCATAAAGCTATCACCTACAGTATAAGCAGAAAGGAGTTAACATTCAGTGGTTATTGTCTGTGTGTTCAGAGATGGTTATTATTATCGATACATAACAGGCATTCTGCAATTAGATGAAAATTTCCAAGTATATTCTTTTATTCTTTTTTAAAATTGGTTTTCACTCAGCTATTAATAGATATTTCATTGTATAACAATAATTATCATTGTATGGAATATACTCTTTTCTGGGATGATTCAGAGGAAAAGTACAGTGACTTTGCTTTTTCATAGAAAATTTAAAAAAGACAATTACAATTTCTATTTCCCCCCAATTTCTAACATGTCATAAACAGAGAAACAAGGACAGAACCTAAGAAAAAGTTCTTGTAAATGATGAGCATAAAAAGAATGCAAATATACAATTGGAATGAGGTTGTAGCCGAACCTCCAGTAAGTTTCTGAGGCTGTAAGTTGCCCAGTGGGAAACTGCTCATCCTTCTGGCATGGTGAATTTGGCAGGTTCAACTGCTAAAATAGTAGATATTTTGAATTAACAGTGTAATTCTCAATTCTCCACAGTCTAAGCCAAAAAACTCTGTAATATATAGTTATGTATGCAGGTATGTCTGTACATACATGAAGAAGGAGTGGATGTCTTTGAGTTGTGATTATGGAGAAGAGTGCTAATTGTCTGGTGGACAGTCAAAAGGATAAACAGATATGTCTTTGAGAAAGTGCAGCCAGAGTGCTATTTAGAGGCAAGGATGGTGAAGCTTCCTCTCAAATATTCTGGGCCTGTTGTTAGGGAAGGGGCTATTCCCTGGAACAGAACATCATGTCTTGAAGGTAGAGGGCCAGTGAAGGAAAGGAAGATAATGAGAAGGTGGCTTTTGCAATGGGAAGAAGTGTATGCGTGTACTGTTAATATTAATATGTATAAAACTGTTAATATATTGTTATTGTTTTGTGCCCTCGAGTCGCTTGTGACTCATAATGACTCTATGTACAATAGCTCTGAACTCTGCTCTATCCTGAGTGAATCTTACAGTCTCTGACACACCTACCTCCCATTACCCCAGTTACTGTGTCAATCCATTTCATCTGTGTCTTCCTCTCCTGCACTGTCCTTCCATCTTTCCAAGCATGATGTCCTTCTCCAAGGACTGGTCCCTCTTGGCCATGTGCCCAAAGTAAGTGAGATTGAACGTCAAAATCCTTGTCTCCATGGAACAGCTTGGTTTCACCTTCTCCAGGACAGACCTGTTTGTTCTCTTTGCAATCTTTTCTCCAACATTACAACTCAAAGACATTGATTCGCATGATGTCCTTCTCCAAGGACTGGTCCCTCTTAGCCATGTGCCCAAAGTAAGTGAGATTGAACGTCAAAATCCTTGTCTCCATGGAACAGCTTGGTTTCACCTTCTCCAGGACAGACCTGTTTGTTCTCTTTGCAATCTTTTCTCCAACATTACAACTCAAAGACATTGATTCGTCTCCTATCATCCTTATTTATTGTCCAGCTCTCTGATGCATAGCAACTAATTGTGAAGACTCAGCACTCTAGTGCAATATTCAGTCTCTTCTGACATCCATTTTGGTCTTTTCTTCTTCCTCTGTCTTTGTTATGACTATGTCCTTGCATTCTTCATGGGTGATAATATTTTTTTAAATTAATCTTAATAAAAGTTTACAGAGACTCTGGATTTCCATTAATTGTTGCACTTTTCTCCCTGCTTACCGCTCCCCACCCAATTCACTCTTCTCTTTGAAAAGTAAAAGAAAAATTCTTTCATTGTCATACAATTCTTCCCCCAAAGTCCACTCCACTATGCAGCCTTTGTTCTGGACTCAAGTCATGACAATAATACCTATTCATATATCCCTTTTAAACAGCTCTCTCCCTCATTTGTTTCAATGCAGTATACATTATTTATCCTCTCTTTCTCAGTCTCCCCTCAACCCCGATGTCAGTCTCATTTTATAACAGCAGCATTATGCAATATTTGTCCTTTAGTGACTGAGATAATTCACTCAGTATAATGTCCTCCAGGGTCACCCATTTTGTACAATGTTTCATGAGTTCCTTGTTTTTCAATGCAGCATAGTATTCCATTTTGTGAATATACCACAGCTTCTCTATACTTTCATTTGTTGATGGGCACTTGGGCTGTTTCCAACTTCTTGCTATTGTGAACAAAGCTGCAATAAACATGGGTGTGCATATATCTGCTTGAGTGGCAGTTCTGTTTTCTTTAGGGTATGTTTTCAGTAGTGGAATTGCTGGGTCAAATGGTACTTCTATTTCCAACTTTTTGAGAAAGCACTATATTGCTTTCCAAATTGGTTGCACCATTTTATGCTCCCTCCAACAGTGAACAAGGATTCCAGTTTCTTTGCAACCTTTCCAGCATTTGATGTTTGCTGTTCCATTAAATTTTGCTATTCTTAAAGGGGTGAGATGATATCTCATAGTTGTTTTGATTTGCATCTCATTTAGAACTAGGGATTTTGAACACTTCTTGTGTTGGTTTGCCATCTGAATGTCTTCTTCAGTGAAGTGTCTGTTCCTATCCTGTGCCCACTTTTTAAAATGAGTTGTATACCTTTATCTTGTTGTGGTGCTTGAGTATTTTCTAAATTCTAGATATAAGTCCCTTATCTGATATATCATTACCAAATATTTTTCCCCAATCTGTGGCTTCTCTTTTATCCTGTTGGAGAAGTTTCTGGATGTGCATAGGGGTTTGATTTTTAGAAGGTACCATTCATCTATTTTATCCTCTCCTGGTTGTAGAGGATGATATTCTTGATATCCTCCCACAGCTCATCTGGTCTTCACTCATGTTCAAAGACTCAAATTTTTCCTGAGATGGATTTTAAATTGAGGTGGGATAGACTCAAGGTCAAACTTTGATTCTTGTGGATTATATTTAGTTTTCTTTAGCTTCAGTATGAATTTGTACATGAGTAGGTGATGGTCTGTTTCACAATCAGCACCTGGCCTAGTTTTCACAGCTCATATTGATATTGATCTTCTCCAATGATTTCCTCCCCCCTCCAGAAACGTAATCAATCTGATTCCTGTGTAGACTATTAGGGATGTCCAGGTATATAGTTGCCACTTGCATTTCTTATAAAAGGTATTTTCAATAAATAAATCATTAATTGTACAGAATTCTATCATCTTATCTCCAGCTTCATTTCTATCGCCAGGTCCTTGTTTTCCACTATCTTTTCTGTTCTTATATTTTGCATTTCAGTCACCCATTATTATTAATGCATCTTGGTTGCACATTATTCTTACATACATTCAAGTCAAAACAGACTCGTAGCTGATCTCCCAACAGGTTTCCACTGGCTGTAAATCACACCAGAGGAGACAGCCATCATTCTCCTTTTCCTACAGAGCAGTTGGTAGATTTGAATTGTGTGCTTTGAGTTGGCAGCACAACTCCTTACCACTAGTTCACCAGAGATCATGTATTGTTGTTAGGTATTGTTTAGCATGACTCAGTGACCCTATGAAAACTAGATTTGAACCCTGTCCTATCCTATGACATCCTCATCACATACTTGAGCCATTTCTGTAGTGACTTTTCAATCCATTTGGTTGAAGGTCTTCATCTCTTTCACTGACCTTCCACCCTTTCAGGCATCATGTTCCTCTCCAAAAAATAGCCTCCTCTAACAACATGCCCAAATAAATACGTGAGACACTGGTTTATCATTTTTGTCTCCAAGGAGTACTCTGCCTGTACCCTCTCTAACATATATATGTTCTTTTGGCAGTCTATGGGATATTAAGTACTGTTCTTTAACAACACAGCTTCAAAGGCACAAATTATTCTTCTGTTATCCTTATTCACTGCCCAGCTGTCAGATGAATATCAAGTGATTGAAAAGACCATGGCCTGAACCAGGTGCAACTTAGTCTTCAAATTGACATCACTGCTGCTCGGTAATACGGAAGTACCTAACTGGGTATTGGGTTTCCCCAATACAATATGCCTTCTGATTGCCTGATTTTGGTAGATGTAGATTGAGACACATATAGATAAAACTGTTTTTTGCTCTGTGGAAAAAGGATAGGCAATTTCCTCCCATGTGATTTACAGCCTCTAAAAACCTGCTAGAGGGTCAGTGATGAGTTCGTTTTGACTCCACAGCACATAACAACAACAATAACACTCATAATTTGATATAAGCTATAGTTTGGAACTGAAAGACACGACGGAAATTTCATTCTTGTTGCAATAAATAATTTTATACATTGATTAAAACAAAAACCCTGCATTGCCATCAACTCACACTGACCTTTCTGAGCATTTTTGAGAGGACGAAAATTGCATGGGAGGGGAGACGATTGTCTGTCTTTCCCCTTTGGAGCTGTTGGTGGACTCCAACCACAAAAAAGACAATATGAAGCTGTGCTGCAATCCCAAAGGGGTGCTGTTCAAATCCACCAGATGCTCCGCTGGGGAAGGAGGGGAAGTCTCCTCCTATACCAGTTGGATCTGATTTAATAGTACATAAACCCCAAATAAAAAAAAAGGCACTGTATTTGGAGTAGGAGAGCAACTTCCTAGTAACTAAGGCACCAGAGCTTACAAAAGATTTCACAGGGCATGAAAATACAAAAGTCATACCAGGATGTCTCAAAGGTCACAGCGAGAATTCTTCTCCTTAGTCATTTTCATATTTTCTCCATTGTATTCCTCATCTTTGTGCACTTTCCCGCCCATTTTTCCTTCAGCCTCCTCCTTCAGTTTTTACCAAACAAAATAATTAAAACCTATTTGAATATTCAACCAGTTCTTTTTCAATTAAATAATTTCCTCTGAACAATATTCCACTAGACATTTAGAATAGTAGGGAGATTATAGACATATTTAAGGTTAAATACTACACAAAACTAAATTCAGATCAGTAAAATTAATATCACAATGTTGTACTTTACCTTGACAATGTAATTCAAGTCTGAGTTAGGCCATGAATCATGACCAGATTTACCACAAAAGCTGTAGAGCAAAAGTATACAACAAAAAAATGAGTTAGTTTCTTAAATGGTCAGTTATTCCTAACATATTTTTACACAAATAGTACACCATTTTTACTTTTTTCCTCATCAACTATGCACTCTTTCTGCTGGTTTAGTGTAAAACAACCATGCATGCTGCCTGACAACAACAGCTGTTGAATATTGAGCTGATTCTAAAATCCCATGGCCAATAGCAAATTCACAGAAACATCCATGCTGTTGATTCTGCAGTTCCCTCACTTGCTAGCTAAGCTCTTAACTCTGTACCTATACCATTAACTTTCTTGATCATATGTCCACCACTGGCAGCACCATGAAGGATGGAGAAGAGACTGAAGTTAACAAATTCAGCTTGCTTGGCTCCACAATCAACACCTTAGGCATCAGCAGTCAGGAAGTCAAAAGATGAATTGCATTGTTGGGAAAGTCACCTGTCAGAGACCTCTCCAAAGTGCTAAAGAGAACTGATATCAGTCTTGAGACTAAAGTGCACCTGATCCAGGCCATGGTCTTTGCAATAACTTGCTTTGCATCAGAAATCTGGACTAAGGATGACAGAAGTATTTATGCCTTAGAGTTGTGGACCTTGAAAAGAGTACTGAAACTATCATGGACTTCCAGAAGGACAAATAGTTCTGTCTTGGAGAGGCTGAAATGAAGTTTCTCGATGGAGGCTAGGATTTTGAAGTTCCAGCTCACATACTTTTGCCAGGAGGGTCCTTGGACAAGTACATCATGCTTGGAAGGGTGAAGGGACAGTGCAGGAGAGGGAGACTTTGGACAGGATGGATTGACACTGAGGCAATGGGATTAGGCGTGTTGGAGTCAGTGAGACTGGCTCAGGATATGGCAGGGTACAGAGCTATTGTACACAGGGTTGCTATGAGTCCTGGTGACTCAATGGCACACAACAACATGATGATCTGGTTTCCTGCTCTTGCAGGATCTTTAATTGTTATAGTACTTTTACTGATTTTTGTACTATGCATCTTAATCTTGATTGTGAATTTTGTTTAGTATAAAAATATTTAGAACAAAATGATGATCATGAGAAATTAGCCTGTCCCATATATTGACCAGGCAGTAGTTCTCTTTTGGGACAGAAAAGGAGAGAATAGGCTCTGAAACAGTAGGCAGGTCTATGCCCAATATCTGCAGGAAGTAGCCAGAAAGACACCATTGTTCAATTCCCTGAAGAATCAGGGCCAAACACCTCTCAGGGGACAATGCCAAGGTCTCTGTCTCTCTCTTCCACTCCTATAGAAGAGGACTAAAAGTAAAGTTTCTCAGAGGAAACAGGAAGATAAGTAAAAAAACAGATTCATCAAGGTGAAGAAGCCCCCTCTGTAGGAACGCAGGGGATCCAACCCCAAACAATCATAAGACTGGGATACAATAAAAGCAGTGCCCATCTGAGGCGCTCTCTCTCCCTCTCTACTGGCAGTGTGCCAAAAGGTTTGGGCTCACTCCTCACTTTCCAGGGGTATTTCTCCTCTTTCTTCTTTCCTTTTCTCTCTATTTCATGGGGCTTACCTCTATCTTTCATCAACCATGCTTCCTTTACTTAATAAATCTTTTCTACTTGCTTTGCTAAACAAAACAAAACAAAACAAAACAAAACAAACAAAACCTATCTTATTTCTTGACAGAAGATCTAGCTTAAAAACCTACTGTTCTGTGGTCGTACCTACCTGAGATCTTTGATGGCAAATACAAGTTATTACTTTAGGTATCAAATTAACAAACTTTTGGTGACTGATGAGGAAAGCCTTAAACTGGAATTAGCATATAACTGAATTCTACTTTCTGAATTGATCCAACTTGGACCTTGTAGCACTGCCAGAAGTCCAGGCTGGGTTTAGAAGGGGTCGTGGTACTAGGGATATTGTAGCTAATGTTAGATGGATCTTGACTGAAAGCAGGGAATACCAGAGGAATGTTTATCTGTGTTTCATTGACTATGCAAAGGTGATTGACTGTGTGGATCATAACAAACTGTGGCTGACTCTGAGAAGAATGGGAGTCCGAGAACATTTAATCGTGCTAACGCAAAACCTATACTTGGACCAAGAGGCAGTCATCAGAACAGAGCAGGGTAACACTGCATGGTTCAAAACTGGGAAGGGTGTACGCCAGAGATGTGTCCTATCTCCAAACCTTTTCAACCTGTATGCAGAGCAGATTATCTGAGAGGCTGGGCTCTATGAGGAGAAGTGTGGTGTCAGGATTGGTGGAAGATCTGTTAACAATCTGCGTTATGCAGATGACCCAACTCTGCTTGCTGAAACTGAGGAGGACCTCATGCACTTGCTGCAGAGGGTCAAGGACTGTAGCCTTCAGTATGGGCTGAGGCTCAATGTCAAGAAGACAAAGATTCTCACCACTGGACCAACTGGCAGCATCAGGATGGATGGCGAAGAGATTGACATTGTTCACAGCTTCAGTTTGCTCGACTCCATGGTCAACACTCTTGGCACCAGCATCCAGGAAATCAAAAAACGTATTGACATGAGAAAGTCTGCTGTTAGGGACCTCTCCAGGGTACTGAAGAGCAATGGTGTCACTCTGGAGACTAAGGTGCATCTGATACAGGCCATGGTCTTTGCAATCACTTGTTATGCATCAGAGAGTTGGACAATGACTAAGGAGGATAGAAGATGCCTTTGAGTTGTGGTGCTGGAGAAGAGTATTGAATGTACCATGGACTGCCAAGAAAACAAACAGATTCGTTCTGGAGAGGGTTAAACCAGGCAAGGATTCTAGGGCTTCGTCTGACATACTTTGGGCATGTTGCAAGGAGGGTCAGGTCCTTGGAGAGGGACATCATGCTTGGGAGGGTGGAGGGACAGTGCAGGAAGGGAAGACCCTCTATGAGTTGGATTGATTCAGTGACTGGGGTAATTGGGATGGGTGTGTCAGAGGCAATGCGATTGGCACAGGATAGAACAGGGTTTAGGGCTGTTGTACATAGGGTCGCTATGAGTCACAAGCAACTCAATGGCACATAACAACAACATCTTGATTATAGTGCTACATAAGTACCTATTAATCAACCTATGTTAGGTATTAAGTGAATGTGGGAGCCAGAAAGACTCTTTGTTGTACTATGAGGTAACTATGTAATTTGGGTAAACTAATTAACCTCTCTGAGCCACAGGTTGTTGTTAGGTGCCACTGAGTTGAGTACAAGTCATAGCAGTGCTATGAACAACAGACCTGAAGCCTGTCCTATCCTGTGCCATCCTCAACATCTCTGACACACTTGAGCTCATTGCTGCGGTCACTGTGTCAATTTATCTCCTTGAGGGTCTTCTTTTTCATTGCCCCTCTACCTTTCCAAGCCTGATGTCTCTTTCTGAGGAACAGCCTCTCTAAGGATTTCTGAGCCATCAGTTAGCTAATTTTTCCCCCAGAGCATTGCACTACCAATACAAAGGTTCATGGGTTTCTTTTCTTCTTTTTCTTTTTTTATTTTTTTGTTTTCATGACGATTTTAATTTTGAGTAGGTTCCCCCTCCCATATATCTATATATCTATCTCTCTATCTCTATCTATACGTGTGTATGTATTTTACACATTCCTTTATTCACATTTTGTTTCATGTTTCATTAATTCCCATTAATCGTTTCTTAACAAAACCAATCACCATTGATACATGCTCACTATTACTCCATCCTTTTCAGATCACACTAGATCTCTCCTACTTCCTTCAGCCCCTCCCTCCACCCACCAAAGTCTGCTGCTCTGCAATATTAACCACACAGTGGAATATGATTCTGTTACAAAGTGAAATGAAGTTCAAACATGTGCTAAGCACGACAACACGAATCCTGAAAATATTAACCCAAGGGAAATAAGTTGAATATGAAGGATAAATACTGAGTGCACTGATTTACATGGAATATAAAGAATAGGCTAAAGTGCAAGGGGGAAAGTACACTACTGGTTACCAGGGGCGGAGATAATTTAATGATTAATGAATACTAAATTTCTGTTTGAGGTGTTCAAAAAGTTTTGGAAACCCATGATTGCTGATTGCCCACATCCTGAATATAATTAATGTCATTGAATACTACACTTATAATGCTTACAAGGGAAGATTATCTATATCTATATCTATATCTATATCTATATCTATATCTATATCTATATCTATA